GGCGCTTTTTTGAAGGACGTTATTCATCTTCCACAAATGATCAAGAGATTAACAGCATTGTGATTCAGTAACAAGTCATATAAAATGTTTTCTTTCTTGGAAAAAGGTGGTTTTAAATTCCCTGCAAAACCCTGGGTTGACATGAAGATGAAAGGGGATGAAACCAAAAATTTTGGGTTTGAAATATGGAAAATACGGAGGGCGTAGCAAGGTCCGCGGATTTTCATGGCAATGGAGCTTAATACCTTTCAATTTAAACGGCAATGGATAGAGCGCCAAAGAGAGACGGTTTCATCGGTGTAGTTATTTTAAGGGTAAATTATATAATGGTCACTATTATTTGAGTAAGATTATTTTTTGTTTAAAGTTTTTTCATATATTTGGTGGATTAGCCCTGCTAAGTGCTAAGTGCTAACTGTTGGAAAATAAACGAGTACGAGTAATTTTCCTATAACCAGATTAGTGAGAATGCAAAATTAAAGCGGAAAAATAATACCCGAAATTGATAACGGAGTTCAGCCAATTTTGCTTACGTCTCCGAACTACTGCAGATCTTTTAAAAAGAGAGAAAATTTACAGGTGTTTACAAAACACTCACAAGAAAGCTCTCTAGTATTGGGAGAAAGAAATGATTTGGGATTTTGGGATGATTTTGAAACTAAATGAGATAGGGTATTTATAGTTGAAGCTTCGGGACTAATCTTTGAAAATACCCTAAAGTCTAGTGACTAAAAATAATTTTCCCATGTCATTTAGCAGCCCATGTTTTAGCAGCCCCTTTTTTTAATTCCAAGCCGTCGGCTGCCATTGCATTTTGACCAACAATCTCCCACTTGAAGACTGATTTTAATTTGTATTCACACCTCGATCGATGCAGCAGCATTTCTAGTCTTGTTATTCTAGCATGTCAACTGAAGCTGAACACAACTTCAGCTTGTCCGTAGTCACCGTCTTTGTCAACATGTCTATCGGATTTTGAGTTCCACTAATCTTTTCAAGTTTCAAAATCCCATCTTCCAGAAGAGACCGGATAAAATGATATCGCAATTGTATGTGCTTCGTCCTGGAATGAAAAGATGGATTCTTTGCTAGATGTATAGTACTTTGACTGTCACAATACAAAACATTGTTCTCTTGTTTCTTGCCTAACTCTTCCAAGAAACTTTGGAGCCAAACCATCTCCTTGTTGGCTTCCGTAACAACGACATATTCTGCTTCAGTTGTGGAGAGAGCAACTATCTTCTGTAGTTGAGAAACCCAACTCACTGCGGTTCCTCCTAAAGTGTAGACATACACTGTAGTGCTCCTTCTGATGTCAACATTTCCGACTAAGTCAGCATCTACATAGCCTATCAGTATCGTATCTCTACCTTTGAAACAAAGTGCTTTGTTTGTAGTACCCCGCAGATATCTGAGGATCCATTTGACTGCTTCCCAGTGTACCTTGCCCGGATTATTCTTGTACCTGCTAACAGCTCCCACTGCTTAAGCAATATCTGGTCTGGTACAAACCATAACATACATCAGACTTCCAATTGCTGAGGCATACGACACCTTCACCATGTGTGCACGTTCTTCCTCCGTATTTGGTGATTGTTCTTTGGAGAGTCAAAATGAACACCTAAAGGTACTTACTGGTTTTAGCATCTTGCATGTTGAACCTGGAGAGTACTTTTTTGATGTACTCAGCCTGTGATAACTTTCTGAAATCTCCTCGAACTCAGCAAATTCTTTTGTTTCATCTTCGGTATTGGAGCTACTTGATTCTATGGTTGGCCTGTCTTTGTACATCACATTCTTATTGAAAATGACATCTCTGCTTCTGATGATCTTCCGATTTTCATAGTCCCAAAATCGGTAATCAAACTCATCACCACCATAACCAACAAAGACACATTTGTTGGACTTGGCATCAAGTTTACTTCTTTCAGCAGAATCTATGTGTACATAAGAAATACAACCAAACACTCTTAAGTGTGAAAGGTTTATTTCTTTCTTGCTCCAAGCTTCCTCTGGTATTCCACCATCCAAGGGAACTGAGGGCCCACGATTGATCAGGTAAGCTGTAGTGTTGATAGCTTTAACCCATAGAAATTTGGGCAATCCGACATATATCCTCATGCTTTTGCACGTTCGTTCAGAGTTCTGTTCATGCGCTCTGCTACGTCATTCTGTTACTGTGTCATGGGAACTATTGTCTCCATCTTGATCCCATTATTTACGCAGAAATCTCTGAATCTCCTATTTTTGTACTCTTCTCCATTGTCAGACCTCAACCGCTTGACTTTCAGACCAGTCTCATTTTCCACCATGGCCTTCCATTTTCTGAAGGTATCAAAGACTTCTGATTTATTCTTCAGAAAATAAACCCACACCTTCCTTGTAGAATCATCGATGAAGATGACATAATATAATGAGCCTGCAAGAAATGGAACTGGAGATGGTCCCCATACATCAGTATGGACCAACTCTAACTTTTCAGCCTTGGGTGTCTTACCAATCTTTGCAAAGCTGACTTTCTTTTGTTTGCCAAAGATGCAATCCTCGCATAGTCCGACATCTACATTCTTTAGATCCGGTAGCTTTCCTTTGAAAAAAGTGTCTTCATCACTTTCTCGCTCATATGGCCAAACCTTTGGTGCCATAGGTTTGGTTTTCCATCAGTATCTGCTACTGCAATGATATTCTCTAAATTTGAGGCTACATAGAGAGTACCAGTCTTCTTACCACGAGCAATGATGAGTGCTCCTTTGGTAATCTTCCATTCACAGCCTGAAAAGGTTGTGTTATATCATTCTCCATCAAGATGTCCTGCCAAACCTTTGGTGCCATAGGTTTGGTTTTCCATCAGCATCTGCTACTACAATGATATTCTCTAAATTTGAGGTTATATAGAGAGTATCAGTCTTCTTACCATGAGCAATGACGAGTGCTCCTTTGGTAATCTTCCATTCACAGCCTGAAAAGGTTGTGTTATATCCTTCTCCATCAAGCTGTCCTATAGAAATCAAATTTCTTTTGAGGCCATGAATATGTCTTACTCATTTCAGCGTCCAGGTGGTCTGGTTTGGCAACTTTAATCGGATGTCTCCTTTTCCGTCGATCTTTAAGGTTTCATCATCAGCTAGATGAACCTTCCCAAAATCACCACTGACATAGTTCTCCATGATTTCTCGACATGGGGTGGAGTGGAAAGATGCCCCTGAATCCAAGATCCATGATTCAATCAGACTGTTGACGCTTAGAATCATGGCATCACATGTCTCCTCTGTCATGTTGGTAGATTCTTGTGCGCCGGTATATTTCTTTGGTGCTCGTCAATCTCATTTAAAGTGGCCCTTCTTGCCACAATTATAACAGGTATAATCTTTCTTTACCGTTCTTGATTTTCCCCTTCTGGATTTGGATCTGCCACGATTTGAATTTCTCTCTGAAGTTCTCCCTCTAGACTCCGTGTGCAAGGCTAAGGAGGTTGATGCTTCACTCGATTCTCTTCGTCGAATTTCTTCACTCAATACCAGATCCCGAACATCGTCAAATTTTAATTTGCTGTTTCCCGACGAGGTGCTGACTGCTGTAACAGTAACATTCCAACAGTCTGGTAGAGATGATAAGATAATTAAAGCTCGAACTTCATCATCGAATTCAATTTCCACGGAACTCAACTGGGTTGTGATTGTGTTGAGTTCATTTAGGTGTGAGCCACCGATGCCTTTCCGCCATCCGCAAATTGAATAATGCTCCAAAATGAACTTTATTTGAGGTTGATGGCTTCTCATACATACTGGAGAGAGCCACCATAAGACCCGCCGTGGTCTTTTCATTTGCTATGTTGAAAGCAACATTGCGGGATAATGTCAGTCGGATAACTCCGAGGGTTTGTCTGTCGAGAAGGGCCCAGTCTTCATTCTTCTTGCCCTCTGGTTGTTTTCCTGATAGAGGTTGATATATATTTTCTAGTACAAAAAATCTTCAATCTGCATCTTCCAAAAGCCAAAGTCCGCACCATCGAACTTTTCAATTTTCACATTCCCTTCGTCTGCAGCCATCGCACCCACTCGAATCTGGTTTCGTTTGGATCGTTTCTGACAATTCTTGCGAACCACCGTGTATTAAAACACATCCGTCTACAAATTCGTATCGCCGACAAAATTTTACTATTCATGAAATTTACTATTCATGTGAATAGTAATGAATAGTAACCTCGCAAAAAATTGACAAAATTCACAACCAAAAGCTCTGATACCAGTTGTTGAGAAATAAACGAGTACGAGCTATAACCAGATTAGTGAGAATGTGAAATAAAAGCGGAAAAATAATACCCGAAATTGATAAAGGAGTTCAGCCAATTTTGCTTACGTCTCCGGACTACTGCAGATCTTTTAGTAAGAGAGAAAATTTACAGGTGTTTACAAAATACTCACCAGAAAGCTCTCTAGTATTGGGAGAAAGAAATGATTTGGGCTTTTGGGATGATTTTGAAGCTAAATGAGCTAGGGTATTTATAGTTGAAGCTTAGGGACTAATCTTTGAAAATACCCTAAAGTCTAGTGACTAAAAATAATTTTCTCATGTCATTTAGCAACCCATGATTTAGTAGCCATTTTTTTTAATTCCAAGCCGCCGGCTGCCATTGCATTTTGACCAACAATTTCGGGTATTATTTTTTCGCTTTTATTTCGCCAAAGAGAGACGGTTTCATCGGTGTAGTTATTTTAAGGGTAAATTACATAATGGTCACTAGTATTTGAGTAAGATTATTTTTGTTTAAAGTTTTTTCATATATTTGGTGGATTAGCTATGCTAAGTGCTAACATATATCACCTTCAGACAAGGAACGAAATATTGTGCTATACAATCATACAAACAAGCATGCATGCAAAAAACACATGCAGGTGGGAGGAAAATTTTTGTTTAGACTTAGAGGTGGGTTTTGTTGGATTTTGATGGAGCAAAAAGCAGAATCTTTAGGCATATAGTTTTCAAGCATCGTGTTATCCATGACATTCAACGTTAAGGTCGGAGACTGCATGCTGTCGACGTTGGAGATGACTAGTTTGAAATCTTATACCAATATTCTAGCTTCATCTTCTAAGAGAGCACTCCCCTACAGAGCCATACGACTGAGGTTAGTACTTACCAGCATCTTCAGGGTTAGCGGCGACCAAGAGTGTCTATTTTAGACTTGTGAGTGACAGTTAAAAGTTTTGGAGAGTCAATGTCCGGTATGTGTGGTTATCTCGTGGGGGGAAAACGGTGTTTAAACCCATTCTGATGATAATTCGAGACTTGATTAAAAGGGATATCCATATTCGTCATGCTCAAACTCTAGACGTAATCTGTTAGTTCTCTTCTAATTAAAAAAAAGTGTTAGATATCATTTTTTAAAATATTAATTTAAAACAGAATATTAAAAGTAAAAAAAATCTAAATATATTTAAATAAATTTATATAAAACAATAAAATTGAATTCTTTTAAAAGTTGTTTTGATTTTTTTTTCATTATTTGTAGCACTAAAAGTATTATTAATCTTAATTTATTAAATAAATTATATAAAAGTTGCATAAATTGAAAAAATTCTTATTTCTGCAAATGTGTGGATTGGACCGAACCGATCCATTTCAAAAGTGAGTCGAGCCAGAATTTTTGGTCAAAACGTAACTCAAAACACAAATATTTATAGCGAGAAACCCTTGAAAACCCCTTGTTTCTGCTTTTAACACTGCCCCGCAAAATTGAACATGCCAAGCCACGAAGACGAGGAGCAGGGCGAGGTCTTTGTCGACGAATCTGATATAATCCACGAAGTTGATGTGGACGAGGAAGGTTTTCTATCTTTTTGTCTTTAATTACTTTTTTTCCTTGTAATTTTCTCTTACTGTTATTTGTATGGTTTATTCAGATCTTCCTGTGCTGAGGATGAGATGATGGCTGAAGATATCGACGATCAAGTGACTCTATTCATATTTCACTGGCCATACGTGGGGGAAAAACGGTGTTTAAACCCATTCTGATGATAATTCGAGACTTGATTAAAAGGGATATCCATATTCGTCATGCTCAAACTCTAGACGTAATCTGTTAGTTCTCTTCTAATTAAAAAAAAGTGTTAGATATCATTTTTTTAAAATATTAATTTAAAACAGAATATTAAAAGTAAAAAAAATCTAAATATATTTAAATAAATTTATATAAAACAATAAAATTGAATTCTTTTAAAAGTTGTTTTGATTTTTTTTTCATTATTTGTAGCACTAAAAGTATTATTAATCTTAATTTATTAAATAAATTATATAAAAGTTGCATAAATTGAAAAAATTCTTATTTCTGCAAATTGTGTGGATTGGACCGAACCGATCCATTTCAAAAGTGAGTCGAGCCAGAATTTTTGGTCAAAACGTAACTCAAAACACAAATATTTATAGCGAGAAACCCTTGAAAACCCCTTGTTTCTGCTTTTAACACTGCCCCGCAAAATTGAACATGCCAAGCCACGAAGACGAGGAGCAGGGCGAGGTCTTTGTCGACGAATCTGATATAATCCACGAAGTTGATGTGGACGAGGAAGGTTTTCTATCTTTTTGTCTTTAATTACTTTTTTTCCTTGTAATTTTCTCTTACTGTTATTTGTATGGTTTATTCAGATCTTCCTGATGCTGAGGATGAAGATGATGCTGAAGATATCGACGATCAAGATGACTCTATTCATATTTTCACTGGCCATACCGGTATGAACGGTTTCTTATCTCTCTCTTTTTTTAGTTATTGTTGTCTTTCAGCTCCATTTTTGCTTTTCCTGTTCACGACTGGGATTGAAGTAGAACTTTTCAAGTTACCTTCAAAAGGCTTAGTTCTATTGTTCAAAACTTGAATTATCTGGATTTTAAGTTCAATTTTGAGGTTCAATATTAGTTCATTGAAAGAATTATTGATGTTTGTTGAACTTTAGGTTTCCTTTTTGTTTCTCTTGAGCTCTGCATTTATTTAAAGAAAAAAAAATTCCTTGGAGTGTTTACACCGACGGAAATTATTCTATCAATATAGAGCCAGTGAGTGGAATCTTAGAAATGGGTTAGATGGCACCCAAAAGGACATCTGATCTTAGCAGGATTTGAGGATTGTACTGTTTGGATGTGGAATGCTGATAGTGGGAACTTTCTTAGTGTATTCTCAGGCCATAGTGCCAGTGTGACTTGTGGTGATTTTACCCCTGATGGTACTAGCTTTTAATTCTCTACCATTATATTATTTGTTTTGCTTTTCTTTTTCTTTTTTGCATCTTACTTTATGTTTACAGGAAATTTCTAATAAATATATATATGTGATTTATCTAGGCAAAACAATATGTACTGGTTCTGAAGATGCTGCCTTGAGGATCTGGAATCCGAGAAGTGGTGAAACCATTCATGTTGTACGAGGTATTCATCTGAAATTGCATTTGAAATGTCCTCATAGATATTTCAGACCCAACCTAAATATAAGGTTATAAAAGACCATGAACTTAATTGATCTGAGAAAATACTGTCGAAATTAAGAAGCAAAAGAGATATGTAGTTTGACCGCCAATATAGAAGCATGGAATCTTCAGCTGTCAAAGTTCATGTTTTAGCCTAAAATTGTGCATTCTGCGAGTGTTACAGTCCCATGTTTGCAGTCGAATCTTTGGATTATTTATCAGAAAATTGTTTGACTTGCTAGGGAATTCCCCCCCCCCCCTTTTTCTTCTTCCATGCAAACCTATGATGACACGATGAAACTCGTCAAAGGGAGTTTCAGACCTTAGACTTGTTTAGAGTGTGTCATAAACCTCTTAAGAATTTTCTTATTCCGACTTAATCTTTTCTCGTGTCAATTAGCCTCTTTAAGTAGAGGTCACATAATTTACTTGAGATAAAAGGCTAAATTAAAAGATAAGCAAAATAAAAAAGAATCACAGTAATAAACAACTTTCTCCTAATAATTCTCATCATCATAATAATAACTATAATAATTGAATCCTAACGATAATAAAACTGACGTCTCCTATAATAATAATAATAAATAATAATATTTTATTTTCCCCAAAGTAATTAACATAACAGTGAGCCATTATGGAATCCAAAACAACTAGCTGTTGCAGTGGACATATAATGCAGAAAGTTACCATTTCAAGTTCTACAATTTTTTGGACAAATAGAGCTGTTGCTAGTGGTAGCAATTTGATCAATTTTTACTGTCCTTTACAAGGGCTGACATACAATAAAACATTTCTAAATGTCATTCAATTATAAGTTTTTTTCTCACGTTTGCAAACACAACATATAGTACTAAAATGTTTTGGTTTCATATGCTATGAAGTATGGTTGAAAGAGGTTTAGAAGCATCCTTGTCTGTTGAGCTAGTTTTATCTAATTTGTAGTAGAGTCCGTGTTATTTTATTTGCTCTCATTTTCATAGTTTTTTAGATTGTAGGTAGTAATTTCTTTTCTCTGTAGGTCATCCATATCATACTGAAGGACTGACATGCTTGTCTATAAGTTCTGATTCAACCTTGGCTATTACTGGTTCACGGGATGGGTCTGTTCACATAGTGAATATCACAACTGGGAAGGTATGGCTTCTGATGCAACTTGAGGAAAATGGATCGGATCCTTTATAAAGGAATCCATAACCTTCTTTTAGCTTCGTAGTTTTTGCCATAATTTCATCTTTAATTTCATAGATTTTTATTACTTCTCTCCCTGCTCCACCCAAAAGTATAACTTAACGAGGTTATTTTAACCAGTCATAAAAAATATTCATGATCATTATCTATTCCATTCAATTAACAACACTGTGCAATACATATTATCCTTTTGTTCCATTCAATTAACAACACTGTGCAATACATATTATCCTTTTATTCCATTCACTGAGTGGTTATTTTGTTCTCCCTCTATTCCATTAACTAAACGTAATGTTAGTGTTTCTCTGCATATTTTACATGCTTGCAAATATTGTCATCAATGCAGGTTGTTAGTTCATGGGGTTCTCAGACAAGTCTGATTGAAGGCGATGCGGAGTCAATTGAATGCGTTTCATTTGCACCAAAGTATGTATATATATATATATATATATATATAATACTTTCTCACGCAGCTAACCCAATTAGTTTGTTGCTTTTACCAGTTTGAATAGTTTCCTTTTTCATCATATGTTTTTTTCTCTCAAGGACTTTGGTGAATCCATGATTTTTCTACAAAACAGATAGAAAAAGCTAGTATTTTGGGTTCCGATTTAAGAAGTATTCGCCATAAGATTATAAGTAAACCTGCAAAGCTCATTGGTGAGATAAAAGAACTTTTCTCAAATTAGTTTAGCAAGCCTAGCTGGAGGGAGTGCACCCTAAGGTTGTCCTCGTGAAATTACGGCAACTTGGGGGTACCTATGACCATATTACCCTATTAGAGTACATTTAATTGCATTCTTTTTGTATGATTGATGTGGGGTTATTTTAAAACTGTACATGACAGCTTCCCTTGGGCTGTTTCTGGTGGCTTGGATCGAAAGCTTATAATTTGGGATCTACAAAGCTCATCACCACGTTTCATATGTGACCATGAGGTTAATAGAATCATTTAAATCCGTGTGATAACTTATAATAATTGGTCATCATTAAGTAGCTTCGTTCTTATCTTAGAGTAAGCCAAGCCTTCACCCTTTGCAGGAAGGAGTGACATGCTTAGCCTGGCTCGGAGCATCTAAATTCTTGGCTACAGGGTGTGTCGATGGGAGAATATGCATATGGAATTGCCTCTCTGGGGAATGCGTCGAAACCTTCAAAGGACACGAACATGCTATCCAGTCTCTCGCCGTATCTTCCAATCTGGTGTTTCTTGTTTCCGTTTCCATGGACGGCACTGCTCGTGTATTCGAAATCAGAAATTTCCATTGATAAAAAGTAAGCCTCCTGTGTTGACTAGTTAGTTAATTTTTACGGAGTGGAATTGCTTAGAATAGTGTATACTGAATATACTTTGTATGTTGTTTTCATTTTAAGTCTTATTAAGTTGTGGGCAACAGTAAATTTATTTACTTGTTTTTTGCTTTTTTAAACAAATAATTAATAAATGTTTATCCTAACTATGCAGATATTTTCTATACGTTTCATCTTACAAATTTTATAAAATTATAAATTTATTTTTTTATAATTTTAAAATTAAATCCTAAATTTTTATATATTTTAAAAAAATTAAAATTATTATTTCAAAAATAAAAATACTAAAATTTACATTTAAAATTTTCATATTAAGTCATTACAAACAAAATCTGACAATGAAAATTGTGAAAAATAAAAGGGTAAATTACTTGTTTAGTACTTAAATTATCATTTTTTGTCGCCTAACTAGTATTTGTTTTTAAAATTATACCTATCGTTACAATTTGTTTTCTTATTTTGATCACCAACCTTAGAAAGGTAATAGAATTATTGATTTAACATTTTTTAAAAAAAATTAATGATTATTTGGTATTACTATATGGTGATACATTAATATTATTGTCAATTTCTTAACATGGACGATTAAAATAAAATTAAAATATAATATTACATATGATTTTGAAATAAAAAATAGTTGAATAACAAAAACTGAATAAAATCAATAGTTAGTGTACTAAATGTGTAGTTTATCTAAAATAAAAACGAGAGGGTTGGGCCTTTTTTAGCAGGTTCAGCTCAATCGGAAGGGAGTGAAGCTAAGGAGTTTCCGTTATCCTTATTTATTTATTTATTTATCTCTCCTACAATTAAAACCAAGCAAACTTGACCAAAATAAAAGATAAAAAGGAATTTGCGGTTTCTTAATCATCCAATTGTTTTCACAAAAATCTGTCCTTGTTTTTTTCACCGGAACCTATGGAATCTGATTCGATCAGCAACGCTTCTTCTTCTTCGGCCTTTAGCTGTAATGATATCTCCAGGAAGAAGAGAGTAGGGACTTCCTTTTATACTTTTTTATAATTTTCATTTTAATTGATCTTTTTTAACGTTTTATTTGTGTATTTTTTAGAGGTCTGCGAAATTGAAGCAGTGCAAACTCGATTCTCGCCGCGAGCAATGGCTTTCTCAAAGTATGCTAACGGTGATGGTACTTTTTTTCTTTTTGGTTTCTTTTTGAAAGGGTTTTAGGTGGTTATTTTTTTTTTCAATTTTTGATTTTGAGTAGGTGCGGTGAAGAACAAGGTTTGTTGCAAGGAGGGAGCCAAGGATGTCGATCCGAAGCAGTCTCAACCGGGTGAAAGGGACCGTTCCTTGGATAACTTTGAGATGGGGAGAACTGCTGAGGCTAACGGAGAGAGTGAAGATGTATCTGTCCAACACGAGAGCGATTCCGAGACTTCGCCTCTGAATAGGCACACCAGCAGCAGCCTGCTGGGAGGAATGGATTCGGGGACAAGCTTCACCAATAGCAGTTGTAGCATTAGCAGCACCAGTAGTGGTGGATGCTGTTCTGGTAGCATTACAGAAGAAGAAGGTGATGATGGATGCTTGGATGATTGGGAGGCCGTTGCTGATGCACTGGCTGCCGATGATGACAAGCGGGAAACGGGTCCAAACAAGAATAACAAGGAAAACCATTGTTCAGGATCGACCCCTGGGAATGAGCCAAATCCCCTGTTAGGTTCGAGTGGGGGAGGTTCGAGTGGGGGAGAAACAGATTTGAGGAGCTCCAAACCTGAGTGTCCAAGAATGGTGCAGAGGGTGCCAGGAAGTAGCAGAGCATGGAGGGATGATGATACTTTTCGTCCACATTCGCTTCCTCATTTGTCAAAGCAACGGAGTTTTCCAGCTAGGGACTGGCCTTTTGGTCAAGGAGGGGTGTCATGGGTGCGAGGCAGTGCATTTTCGGTTCCATCATCATGCCCCATATGCTATGAGGATTTGGATTTAACAGACTCAAGTTTTTTGCCCTGTTCATGTGGTTTCCGGCTCTGTCTTTTCTGCCACAAGAGGATTCTTGAGGAGGATGGACGTTGTCCTGGTTGCAGGAAGCCGTATGAGCATGATCCTGTGGAGGCTGAAGCTAGCATTCAAGGAAACAGTCTAAAATTTAGGATGTTGGCTCGTTCTTGTAGCCTGATTACAAGGTCTTAGAAGCAGTCTCTGTTTTTCTTGAATTATGTATGATGTATTTCTCTTTTCTTTGCTCCTACTTTATTGTGTGTTTTGTTAGTATTAATAGACTCTGGGTTCTGTAGATTTAGATGCGAGTATAATAGCGTTATCCCTTTTGGCACCTGGGAATTGAGCTTATGTTTCTATGGGTTTGGTTCTTATCTGTTTGGTGCATGAGTTGATATAGAGTACACATCTTGGCATGTGAATTGATAAGATGGTATAGAAATTCAATAAATAAATAGTATTATAATAAGTTTTGTGCCTCACATTGTATCCAACTTCTCTATTAAAGTTATGAATTTCATTTGATTATGCTTTTAATATCTAGTAAATATGAGTATTCTGTTTTGTTGGTAGTTCTATTACTGCTTTAATTTCTTTCTGTACCTCGGATCTGTGCTGTTTTCACTTCAAGATGAGACTTGCTTGGGTTTAAATTTATTCTTAGAAAGGCCGTTGTAAATGAACTAGGGGTGTGTGTGTGTGTGTGTATGTATATATCTATTCACATTTGTTTCATATCATTTGAAGAATCTCTGTGCTTTTGGTAATTTGTACATGATGTGTTGTTATACAGGAATTACTTTTTTCTTTATTTTTCTTTTTTCCCACACGAAGTGATACATGAATATGGATTATGGACAAATGATAAAATTCATTTTCAATTGGTTGGTTGAGTATATTTATTGCTTGCATTTGGCTCGACGAATTTGAAATCTAAAATTTGGATGTCTAAATGTAATAATCATACTTTTATTTGCCTTTTTTCTTCTTGAATTGTAGTTTGGAGATGGTAACTAACCTCTCCATCAGTTCTGCATAAAAGTTGCTAATTAGGAACCATGAATAGAACTGTCTTTAGATAGTTAGATGTGATATCCCAAGACATTGTTATATACGTCTTAATTTATACCACTTTCTCTGTTCTGTTGCCATGATTTCTTTTACAATTGCACTACTTTGAACCCTTTGTAGGAATTCATCACTGCTAAATAAAGTTTCCTATAATATTGTTTCTGTGTTCTTTTTCAATGCTTTAGAAAATCATCACTTAAAAGGAGAATCCAAATGAATAACTACTACTAGTATGGTAATGTTTGAGCAAATTGATAATCCAAGTATGCCAGACCTGAATGTTTTGCTAGGTGCATAGCTTATCTCTTTGAAAATCTAGTGTTGTAAATGTGCTAATCCGATCCTAAGACCTATGAAGATACTAATTTTTTATCCATTTGTTTTTTATTATTATATTATTATTAATATTATTTTATTTTATTATTATTTATATTATTATTATTATTATTATTATTATTACATTTCAGTCCTACTTACAACCAAATAGACCGGTCCAAACCCATCAGAAACCCTAAAACCCAACTAGGGTTTTCTATCCTAGTGTTGTCGCCGCCTTGCTTTTCCACCATTGGATCTGGCTTGATCCAACGGTCCACAACCTTCCAGATGAAACCCTAGGGTATCATCACCCTAGGGCCACGACGTCAGCCGCCTCTCTGAGACCTCCACCAGCCGCTGCCATTCTTCAACGGGAGCCTCCATAATATTTGAAGAGAGCCGTCCACGTTGAGGGCTATGGTGAGTCACCATTATAGTTTGGTGACTCACCAAACTTTACTCTATTAACTGGTCCGAGACGAGCTCCGGTTATGGCTATAAAGCCATCGAGTCCCTGCCAACCAAGAAAAACACGAACAGAGAACAAGCAAAAAACCCCACAACCAACAATAAATCCACAATACAAAACCAAAAGAAAGAGAAGATTTTGAAGGACTTACCACTGAGGAGTTACACAGTCACCGGAGCCTCCGAATCTCGCCATAGAAGCAAAATACTGAAGGTATTTTTTGTAGATCTACGCAAATAGAAGACTTTTTAGGGGAAATGGGAGTCGAAATCGGGCGTAGATCGTTCGGATCTATCGATTAGGAAATTTTTGTGTTTTCCGGGCACCATGTACGGTGGCCGGCGGCGATGGTTAGCAGCGGCGTGTGGCTGCCGGCTGGCGATCGGATTCCCTCCGGTGAGGGAATCCTAGAGAGAGGCTAGAGATTTAAAACTCTCTCAGTTAGAGAGAGAATGGAAAGAAGGTAATGAAAAAAATGGCCTTAAGGCCGGCTATAATAGGGCTTAAATACCATCACCAAAACGACGTAGTTTTGGTGAGGACCTTTGTGTAATTTCGCTTATGGGTTAATTATACCCGATGCCATCCTATATTTGTAACTTTACATTATAGTCACTGAAATTAAATTTAGACCCTTATAATTCGGTCTTTTAATTTTATTTATTTATAATTTAGTCACTGACATAAATATATAGATTTTAGGTAAAATAACCGATTTAGCCCTTGTAACTTTATTAATTAATATTTTGATCACGAACAGCTTGTTTTAATTTGTTTTAATTTAATATTCGAATTTGATATAAGTTTATTTTAGTCCTTAAATTAATAATAAGGTTAAATTAATAATAAGGTAAAATAGCATGTTTAGCCCCTATAATTTTAAATAATTAATTACGAATTAAGATTTTTTAATTTTAATATATTATAATTTAGTCACTAATTTTAATACTTTCATTTATTTTACAAATTTTATTACTTTTTAATTTTACTTATTTTAGTCACTGTTTATTTTTAATTTTATATGTTTATTTTTAATATATTTAATTACTATTGTTATTATTATGTAGTCATATAAATAGATATATAATAAATATTTTTTATTTAATCTATTTTTAGAGAAATATTTTATTAATATTTATTTAATTTTTAATATTAAGAAAGGGGTTGTCTTAAAGCACCTAGAAGTCATTTTCTAATATTTATAAGTAAATAAATATCTTATATATATAAATATATATATATATATATATATATATATATATATATATTAATATATTTTCTTAAAATTTTTGGTTATACGTAGATCAGTTTATCTTTTAAATTATGTTTTCTTAAAAATTATTTTAAAAATTTATTTTTAGGTATTTGACCTACCTAACCCAAAGGGTCAATGGCGACTCTCAAAATATTTTATTTTAAATCAAAATCATGAATTTATTCATTTTAATTTTTCCGCCAAGTAAAAATTCGTACCCGAACAAAAACCGGTTACGACAACCTACATTGCCAATTACCATTTATGAGAGGTTAAGGACTCATTTCTTTAGTATTTTTCTAAGGCACATCGAAACATTTCATGTTTAGACAGACAATTTTAAAGACCATAATAATTGAAGGTCGAAATAGTACATAAAATGATGATGAAATAAATGCAACTCTTATCATTTCATGTTTTCTATTGTTAACTGGTGGTTCCCTTTGCTTTTTACATCATACATTACCGACATTCTGTGACAATTGCTGTGGACTCGGGCGAGCGTCAGATACAGGTATGTTTTAGGTATACGTATGATTATTGTTTTTTCTAAATTTTCCCATGCCGAGGGGATGTTATAACTAGATATCGAACTCTAAACCTTAGGATACTACACAGAATTTTAGCCGTTTGCTTATTCGAGTTGGTGGCTATCGTTGGTATTAGTGGTTGTAGTAAAGCAGCAGGGTGTTGTATCTTAGCTCTGGTAAGGATATAACATTCCAGAAAGGAAATAGGGGAAAATGATGTTCCGTTCATTTTTAAATAGGTTTTTGGGAAAATTGTTTAGTAGTTACTTACGCCTGTAACTATAGTGGTTGATAATTGGGATTGTCTTGGTATTGATTGTATAACCGATACATATAAGTTTCAAGATGAAATGAAATTTATCTCGGTATTTAATATTTGATTTTTGTATTAATTGGTACTGTTTTGTACTGATTAATTCCGGTATGAATTGGTTTGTACAGATTCATACAGATCGATATTGATTTTTTCTATAAGATTTTGATTTTCCTTTTTCTGGTTTGGATGAAAAATAGTAAGAAAAATGACAGAATAATGGTGTGGTCACGGAACTCAAAGAGGGAGTTTGAGATTTTAGATCTTGTTCCATTTGTAGGAAGAGATAAAATTACCTTTTATATTCTTTCATGTCACTGTTATTGGAACCTTGTGGGAGCTATTAGTAAGAGGGCTCATGACATATTTCCCTCAGTCTGATGATGAGATCAGGTCAGGTTGTGGTTTTGGTCTCATCCAATAACTACCAAGTTATTCAAGACCTATAGTCTACAACCCTATTGCTGCTCTCTTATAGAAGTTCAAGGTTTGAGTATGATGTTTGTATGGATATTCGGGCGTTCATTATGAAAATCGAGTTAGTAGGGCAATGATGTTTGAACGTTCATTATGAAAACCGAGTTAGGGATATTGAGTTTTATTGAGTTTTGCTTGTTTAGGAATTAGAATTTGAAAATAAAACAACGAAAGCTAATTGGGAGTAGATTTATATACTATATCTCTTCTGACACTTTAAACACAATCAGAAATATTCGATGATATTTTACTGTCCAATGGTTTATTCTTTTAAATGAAAATTCTAACGTGCTTTTGCCATCCGTGGATAAAACCACAGCCTCTAGCTTTCTTTCAATTTAATCTCTAGAATTTATTTTGATTTATATTAACGTTTGAATTTAATAAATTTTCTCATTTTAATTCTTTTGATAATATAACACTAAGATTATGAAATTTCATCAGAAAGATTAAAAATTGATAAAAAATAAATAAATTTAAATTTAAAAATCAATCTGAACAAAAAAAAATTAAGATCAAATTGAAAGATTTGTCACATCCTTGGACTAAAATTTACTATCCCTTTCATCAAATGAAGCACATAACGTGTAGTGTATTATATTTGGGATTTCAATGATTGTGATGAAACAAATTTACCTCCATGCAGCACAAAAAATGAATACCACGTCTCTCTTCATTCCCCTCCTTTCAGGGCCTAATTAGTTCTTGTCAGCTTCTAAATAGGCCTTTGCTAAGTGCATTTTACACAAGTTACCTTCACCTACTGATCCATACTAGTCACCAACACAAAATTTTGCCCTCTTTAATGACTGCAGAGGCAGAGATAGTAGCTCCGAGGTTGCTATATCGCAACCGGAAGGGGTTGCATTTGATGGAGAGGATAGTAGCGGCGATGAGGTATGATTATTGTCTTCTTCTAACTTCATTTTGTCGACTCTTCTCCCTTCTTTTTCCTCTGTTTCACCTCTCGTTATGCAGTCTTTCATCAACCGTTTTACATCCGACAGTTTCACGGGCTTGACTAGAAACTCCTCCGCCCCTTCCTCCAAGCAGCTGTGAATGAAAACAATGTTCTTTAACAGTCCCTCAAAGTTGATGAAACACGATAATAAACCGCACGGCAACAACTATGGTGAATAACAAACATGTTCAAGAAAGCAGAGACGCATGTAAAAAGTCATCGAACAACCGGGCTAAAACCACACGATTTACATCTTGAAGGCAATCTGGTATGTTCGTAACCCCTGAACACAATAATCTTCAAGTTGAACTCAACTAATCCGGAAATTTTCCCCTTTTTACTGGAATACGAGGGAAGCCTAATAATCAGAATAATATTTTGTACACAGACAACAAGACCAGTGATCCTCCAATGTTATAAAGATTTTGGTTTGTCCATTACCCACACAAATACAAACAAAACATGGAATCTTTTCGGTTGTCCCATTACAACATATCAGATTTGGCTAATCTTATCAGTAAAGGCAGGTTCCTTCCTTTCGATTTCATCCAATGGAATCAAGTCAATAGGCTAAAAAGTGCTATCAATTTCCCCAGATTTCTCCCAAGGGAATATTAAGCAAAGATAATGAACATATATATTCACATGAATCCATTTCCAAACAGATTGAATTTTCCGAGAAGATCATCATCAAATAGAAAAATTCAACAGCATGGATCAATCATTATACCCATCCATACGAGTGAGGATGTTCTCAGAGGACATGATCACCACTGGAATTTCTCTGAATGCTGATGACCGCTGTTCCAAAAGATCAAATCAAACATAATCAACAACCAAATCCCTAAAAGTTTCACCTCAATTGATGATCAAAACTTGCAACTGCAGAGAAAAAAAAGACCTTGATTTTCTTGAGGAGTTCATATCCAGTCATTTCGGGCATGGAGTAATCGGTCATTATAAGATTCACCTTCAAACCCTGTAGCAACAGCCATTTTTAACAAACGCCAGAACATCAATACAATCCCCCAAAATTTTCTCAGCAACCAAACAGACAGAACAACTCACATTGAAACCCAGAGACCCTTTTTCTGCATCCAAACCAAGAAACTGCAGAGCTCTTGCCCCGCTCTCCGCGGCCGTCACTGCACTCAAAACGAATAAACCAAGCCAGACCCAATCTTCAAAATCAACTTTTGATCCAAAACAAGATGGGGAAAATCGAAAAGCAAGCAGCCAGTATACCCTTACAAGAAGATACCTTCAGCAACTTTTCAATAACTTTACGATCTACGTAACTATCATCCACGGCAAGAACATGCAACTCCTGAGAAGACCCAGATCGTAAAACCTCACCAGCAGCCTCCATAATTGTTTTGGAAACAACAATGGTGGGTTTGGGTTTTTTTTTCTTTCTTAAATGAAGAGGAAAGAGAAGTGTGCATAAAAAAGAGAGAGGTAAAGGCGAATATTGAGAAGATCCATCCAAGATCGTAGGGGTAAGATCGTACCAAATCTTTGTAAAGCAGGGAGCATTATCTCCCACTGGTTCATTGTGCTGTCGTATAAATACCAAAAATAAATGGTTGTACGTAAAAATCACCATAAATGGAGACAGGAGACAAATCGTATCGATAAAAGTTTGTCGGTGGGTTTTAGATTTGGCTTTTGACTACGAGATATACTGATGCTATACAGATAGAGCTATAGCTATAGCTATAGCTTAGAATAGAGAATTGTTGGATTGAAATTGGGACAATTACCCTCTCGAAATAGGAGAGGTTTAAAAAGAATAACTTCACAGTCAACACTTGACTATATATTTAATTTACAGGAGGCTTCATTTTCAAATAAGTGCTTAAACTATCTATTTTTGTCAAATAAGTACCTATAATTTTTTGATTCATTCAAATGTCTAATGATACAAATATTATCCTTTTAGGTGTCCAAGTCGTCAACACCGTTAGTTTTTCCCATTAAGTGACACATGTCAACATCTTGTAATTTTAAAAATTTTATATAAAATTTTTAAAAATAAAATTATATATTTTTTAAAACGAAAAAACATAAATTTCGAAATAACCTCTAAACTTTGAAAATTTTCATTTCAACCCCTAAACCCACATCGATCACCACCCTTTACCATCGAAGAAGCTTCACCCAGCCTCCCCTCCCCTCGGCGACCATAAACCCTATGAAACTGTGACTGGTTGACGATCAATCGACCACAAATCGACGTTTTAAATCTCACAAAACCTAAGATGAAAAACATGATCCCACACGATTTCGAAGGTTAATCGACGACAACTACGACGGTATATAACTAGGATGATGTCAAGGACTACGTCGGCGACAGCGGTGGTAGTCAGAGAAGGTACTGGCGGTGGATTAAAGTTAGGATTTAATATTTTGATGTTGTTTTATAATATAAGAAAAGTTATGGTTTTTTATAAACATAATAATATTTTTAATTTTTTTATAAAAAATAAATTTCAAAATTACCAAGTATTGACATGTGACACTTAACGAGAAAAGTAAAAATGTTGAAGACTATGACACCTAAAAGGGTAACGTTTGCATTGTTAGGTACCTGAATAAGTAAAAAAAAACGTAGACACTTATTTGAAAATTAAGCCTTTACACAAAGGCAATTAGTACAATCATTCATGTCAACAAATTCTTATATTTTTATATATTTATTAAGATTTTTGAAAAAAAAATATTTAAGATAAATTACACCAGTGACCATCCAACTATAGCCAATTTTCATTTTGACCACTATTTTGAATTCTTATCAATTAGACCACCCAACAATTTAAATACATTCAATCAGGCCACTAACCGTTAACATTTAACGGAAGTGCTGACGTGACAGTTAATAAAATTGGTATAATTTACATTTAATCCTTATTGTTAACAATTTAAATGCATTCAATCAGGCCACGAATGCTTACTTATTATTGAGTGATAGTATCAACATCTTGGTGATAACGGGTATCGTCATTGTGTTTGGCATGGTGATGCATTATAGGATGATAATGAGGTTAGAGACTTAGTACTTATATACTCATGGTGGGGCCCTTAGTGACGACTAAGGGAAGCATGAGAAGTAGATTCGAGGGATAGAACTGGAGGACTTTACATGGGTAGCATTGATTGGAATCATGCTTATACCTACTACTTAGTACTATGGCTCTAGCATACTTTAGTTTATGAAATTCTTATGCTACTCTAGATTAGCGATTATACTGCTGAGCTTTGTAAGCTCAGCCTTCAGATGTTTTTCGTTGGCAAGTCCGTAGCTTGAGCAGTTAGTGGAGCACCGTCGTCGCAAGACTTTCAGCATCTCCAACAGAGTACTATATTGTAGCTTTAGTGGGCATGTGTATGCATAGAACCTTACTTATGTATTTGAGTTGTAAACTTCAAGATGTATTATTTTGATTTAAATCATACGCCACGGAGCTTCGATTTTGTAAAATGTTTTTATAACAGTTGTTTATGTTTTATTATGATTTAAATCATACGCCAATCGAGTTTAGGGTGTTACACTTATAGTTTTGAAACTATCACAATAGTTTCAAAAATTTCCTTAAAGTTTCTATACTTTGGGTCTAATGATCATATTTTTTAATTCCTCTTTCAAAGAGTTTCAAAACTTTCCCTATAGTTTCGAAACTTTGTGTATAAGTAGCTTTAAATATGCGAATTTAATGCTTCAAACGGCTCCAAACTCCCTCCAACAACCATAAATGGCTAGAAATTATTGAGAACGTATAAAAAAGGTCTTTAAACAGCAAAGAAAAGACAAGAAATCTATTCCAACAATCAAAGATTAAAAAAGAGCCAAATTCATAGTCAATTGTGTCTTTCTTACATAGAACACTATTCAATTCATTGTATTTTTCTTTCTAGTGTTCTTGGGTGTGTGAGAGTGTCTAGTTTCAAACATTTTATTATTGCGAGGATATTATTTGTAATTTCTTCTTAGGAAGGGTAGTACACTTGAGACTTTGGGGTATAAGTGTAAGTGTGTTGTAATGTTACACCTTATCCTAAGAGGTTATAACAAATTAGTGGATTTGTTGAAATCCTTAGTGTGGAAGTTAAGACATGGATGTAAATTTCATTGAAGAAATTGAACCACTATAAAATTGTTTGTGTTAATTTTTCATTTTCTTGTAAAAAGCTTCCATCATTTTTTAATTGTTAATTCACTCCCTCTTAGCCATTTCATTGATTCGATTGACTCAACAAAGACTTCGCAACATCGTAGATAAAATCAATGTGATACTGAGTGGATGGAAGGCAAAACATTTGAATATAGCGGGTCGTTCCACTCTAGTGAAGTCAGTAATCTCAGCGATACCTACTTACGCCATGCTAACCTCTCGAGTGCCAGCGAGTATTGTAGCTACAATTGACAAAGTGAACAGGAGGTTTTTATGGGGAGGAAACGATGAGAAACGGTCCCCTCATCTCGTCTCTTGGGATGATGTTTGCATACCAACTCGGGAAGGTGGATTGGGTATCCGGAGCATGAAAAATCATAATTCCGTTCTACTTCAGAAAACTGCTTGGCGCTCTATCCATTCGCCGAAAAGTTTATAGGTGAAGTCACTTAAATCCATATATGGTGTTAAGGGTGATCCTCTCGAGTATGCGATTTTCAATCAGCGTAATTCGGCTTCTTGGTTCCATAATTGGAAGAGTTTGATCTTCGGCTTGAGAGGTTTAGCTAGTGGGATACTGAAACGTATAGGTAATGGCAAGGACGGCTTTCTGGAAGGATAATTGGTTGGGAATGCCTATCTTTCAATATCCGGAGGTATTGAGTTCCTTCGTAGATGAATCTATTCAAGTAAGTGATTTTATCAAAGCTGATCTAACCTGGGATCTAGAAAAAGTCTTTGCGCAGGTTCACATGGAAGTTGCGAATCGTATAATGGGTTACTCATTACCAAGGTTCTTAGCTCTGCATGACTCGTACACATGGAAGTATTCTACCAACAGTGAGTTTACCACTCTTTCAGTGTATTTGGCGCTCCTTGATGTTGATCATAGTGAATCTGGAAGTAACTTTTCTTGGATTTGGAAACTTCCTATTCCTCCAAAATGGCAGTTCTTTGTTTGGCTGGCTTGGAGAAACCGAGTTCTCACGAATGCCCGACGAGAATCTTGATTCTATAATGCATTACCTGATTCTGTAGTTTGTGGTTGCACCATGGAGGACTTGGATCACCTGTTGAGAGGGTGCTCTATGGCTCAAAAGATTTGGAACCGTTGCTTTCGAAATTATCCTCCAGATGACTTCTTTTCACAGGACTTGAAGGTTTGGCTGTTTGAGAACCTTGATGTTAATAATCGGTCTCAAGAATTTGTTACAGGGTTTGCTGCAACTTTATGGGGTCTTTGGATGCAAAGATGCAAAACAATTTTTGAACCATCTGAAATGCGATGAGATGAGGTCGGTCTTTGGAGCAACATCGTGGCCATTACCAAGGAGGTACTCTCAACTCACAATAAATTTGTCCACACAACTAATCAAATTTTACTTGTAGCTTGGAAGGCTCCTGCTCATGGGAGAGTGAAACTAAATACCGATGGTGCTAGTTGGGGGAATCCTGGTATTTCGGGTGCGGATGGTATCTTTCGCAACGATTCAGGTGAGTGGATATAGGGCTTTTCTGCTCACTTGGGAGTATGTTCAAGTGTTGCGGCCGATCTCCAAGATATCAGATTAGGACTTATTGCGTGGGAGTATGGGTTTCGAGACGTTGATATTTTAAGCCTAAAGGATTGGAGGGGGAATCTTTCCCTCCAGCATACGTATCGCGAAGGAAACTTCTACGCGGATGAGCTTTCAAAGCTGGGTTGCTGTCTCGAAGAGGAGCTGGAAATGTATGATCACCCACCAGCCGATGTTCTTCCTGCATTGAAAGCTGATCACATGGGCATAGCATTCCCAAGAGGCCATATGAATACTTAGCCTTCTTTAAGATTCCCCTTGTAACAAAAAAAATATATATTTAGAAAATTCTTTTCAAATTCTTTCATTCTGATGATAGAGAGTGTGCTCGATTGTTTAATATTGTTGTGTTTACTGGTGAGATTGTTTGTTATTGTATTTTTGGAGATTGATGTCTAACTTTACTCAATGCACTAAGGAGAAGACGAAATTGTATTAAGGAAACCGTTTATACATGACTCAACAAAAGTTCTTTTTATGTTTATCTAAATCTGCTCATTTGATTAAATCTCTACATATGAGTAAACAATCTCGTTTGTTAATTTTAATTATGTATTTATTTGAATTGTTTGATTTAATAATATTATTCACTTATTTTATTATAATTATTTTATTTTTCAAGTTAATATTATTTTTATAATATTTTGATTTATTTTTCTTTCATACCCATTATGTTTTCATGTTGAAATTATATTAACGTCGTTATATCTTTCATTTTTATTTTGATTAAATTATTTAATATTAGGGCTAAACCGTTATATGCTAACTTCTGTGTTTCGAAATCAGAGAGCAGCTGGAACTGTAAACTGGGCACAGGCACAGGCACAGGCACAGGCACAGGCACAGACAGGCAGAGGCACAGACACAACTACTGTGTTTGCAGGCATGTATATGGAGTTAATATGGAAGCTGATGCTTCTGTTGCAAGAATGTATGAATGTGATATAATCTATATACATGCATGCGTGTGTACCTATGTATGATATAATTTGTATACCAAGGTGTTTACATTCTTGCTATTGATTTTTCTTTCGGGTATAGAAAGATCTTCGATATCGTTCATGGGAAGTTGCAAGAATGTTTGAATAAGGATAATATATGATCCTCATCTGTATTTAACTCACCATCAGATGGAAAAATAATAATTAACAACATTTGTGCACTGCTTAATGCAGATTCTCATAATCAGGGATTCAAAAAACGGTCTTGTAACGGTATAACAGTTGTTATATTGCGGTATCGGCGGCTCCCGTTACCGATATCAGCCGAAATCACGGTGTGAAACGGAATCACACTTATAACGGCCGATAACGGCCACAATTTAACGGGTAACGGTCGATCGCGGCTATAACGGACCGTTTTTTCTGTTAATCCCCGTTACAACACCAAACATCACCAACAATACAGTTACTTCAATAAAAATGATATTTTTCTTTTTTTACAGGAAATTCAAAGACGGAAAAACCATATTATCTCTTAGCCTTATCAACTGGGAATGAAACTTTATGGGTGGGAATTGCGTATCAAGCTCGCTAGCCCTCTTACTGGAGGAAGAAACATCCATAACTGTAACATGCAGCAACCAAGTAAGATTTTTTGGGTATTTTTTGTAGGAATCAAGCTAGTAAGCAAAGAAAAGTTAAAAACATGAAAAAAAAATAAAAAAGAAAAGAAACGAATTTTAAAAAAAATCTATAACATTCCAATTTATGGGCTAAAATTAAGAAATTATAAAGTATTAGATTTAATTGGTATTTTGAAGGAAAAAATGGGTTAAATTGTAAAATTTTAAAGTTGACAGACCGTTTTATGAAGTACAGGAAGTTCAGTGGTTAAACTCTTGGTTTAACCATTTTTATTTATGAGATGATATAAACCTCCCATTCCCGTATGTTTCTGAAATTTTTTCCAGTTTTCCCTCTCCAACAACTCTTCTTTGAACTCCGATCTACTCGTCGTCCGACCTCCGATCGACGAGCCGAAACCACCATCGTGTTCGTTGTCGAGCGATGAACAAAACCCCTCAAAGCTTTTGTCGTGAATCATCGCCGTTCGTCGTTAATTTCAGTCGGAAGTATCGTCGGTAATAACTCGATTTTAGTTGGTTTTTCATCGATTCACGACGATCGGGTCATCCGTTTACGACACCTCCCGCACCATTGTATTCCTTGTTCCGTTCCGAGTCTGCCGGTGTCATCCTTGGTCTCCGTCGACGGCGGCGCGTGAGGAGGTGAAGCGGTCAAAGTTTCCGATTCGTTGAAATCGAGCTCCCCGCCGTTCAAAATTGTGAACCGAGCTTTGTAAGTATATCGAAATCGCTCAAAATAATTTTTAGGATTTTTTCCGGGAATTTATCACTGTTCACGCCCCCACTGCTCGTGGGGAAGGAAAAAGTGATTGGTTTGACCAGTTTTGGAACTGTTTTGACCGGTTTGACCGGTCACAACCCGACCCGACCCGCTGACCCGACCAGATCCGTTGACCGGCATTGATCACTGTTGACCAAAACTTTGACGGGCTTTGACCGGGCATTAAACGACCTTTGACTTTGACCGAGTATACCTATCCTGACATTTTTCGAAGTTCCAAATCCGATTCCACAGTCCGTTTCTCGAAATTTAGACCCGAAGGCATTGAAATTGCCAGTCAAACCCGTTGACTTTGATTTTGACCGGAAATTTCGAATTTTCAAAAAGTCATATTTTATGCTTTCGAAGTCCTGAATCTGAATCCGAAGTCCGTTTCGCCAAATTCGAACCCGGTAAGCTATTTTTCACTGATTTATCACCTGATTGGATCCATTTATCGCAATTAAGCTCATTTTCTGATATAATTTATGTTAATATGTATCTGAGAAATTATTGGAAGTTGAATTGAAGATCAAAGGCATTTGAATGAAATTTTTATGGTCGATCAGTATTGCACGGAAATCGAGGTAATACTTTACTACCTCTTTATGCTTTATGGAACATGTGAATATTGGTAAATGCATGATTAAGATAATGTTGGTCTCATTTATGTAGTTAATTAGTTTCTACACTTGATCTGAATACGATAAAAGGGTTCAGTTATTGATTATGGTTCAGATGATTTTTATAAGAAAATGAGGGTTTGTTAGAGTTAAATTACAAGTTCTGTGCTTATTGATAAAGAAATCAACATGGATTTGTAACTTATAGTTTATTTCATCAAAGGTTAAATGTTAAAGGTATTTGGATGGGAAATTATGATAATACTCTGGTAGGGTAAAATTACGAAAATACCCTTAAGTTGTAAGATGTCAAGAATTGTCCCTGGAAGTTGATTAATAACTCTGAAAGGATATATTGATATGATAAAACTACATACGTGTTTAAGAAATGCTAGGTTTTGCTTACGAAATACGGATAACCGGTTTTTAAACCCTAGAGGGTTTGTGCAAGATATTAGAATTCTATTAAGGAATCATTTCAAGATAAGAGAATGTTCGGGAAAGCAATTGATCATAGGATCTCTAAATTATAATTATTTTCGTTAAGAGCTAATATTGAAATTATCTGGTTAAGAAATTACGGAAATGCCCTTGAGAGGTAAAATAGTCTGAGTTGACCCTGAATGAGAAAGTACTTTGAGGATTTGTACTTAACTCGATTAAGTACGAATTTAATTGTTAAGATCATGTCTTCGTACATAAAAATTCATGATATTCCGTTTGTAAAATTTGAGAATACACTTGACCCGGAAATATTCGAGTAATGAGTAAATACCTGAAGAATAATTTATCGGGGGTATTCTGCTATCAGAATTGTTCGAAAGGACTGAAATAAATGATAAGATTGAATTTAATAGTAAGATCGGACGGAAGAAAAGGATTAAAATACACTGAATCTGTAAAATGACCAAAATACCCCTGTAATAGAAATGACCCAAGAATACCACCAAGCTCAGGAATGATTGGATATCCTCGAGCTCTGAAATGAATGGAATAAAACTGAACACAAAAATTACCAAAATACCCTTGTGACCTAGACTAAGTAGATGTTGGATTAATTAAGGAATCCAAATAAACATGGGTGTGGTACTGATCTTAAAAGTTATGGATCACCTATTAAGCTGAGCAACCAATGCTAGTGTTATATCAGTACCTGAACGACATAAATGTCACTTGAATGCATGTTTGTATTTTCAAGTTTGGCTCGATGATAGTTTTGGAAGTATTCAGCTCAGCTCAACTCTATAACGCATTCAATAGTAAGGAGTTGATATTTGTTAGACAAATCGACCACTAAGACCAAATTGAATTGAACGAAAGTACAATATGTGTCCGAAATTCAGAAACGTCTAGATTACCCTGAAAACCCTCGAATATTACAGGAATGGACATGACTGCTAAATAAATTAGGTAAACTCAATGACTGAGGATTTAGTAAGTGATTTGGATAAGTCTGATGAGTTTACATAGTGTACAATTACGATGGTTTATGATTAAAATAATCAAGTACGTCAGCATTACATGATATTGTGGAAGCGTGGAAATGAAATAAAGACATTGGAAGATTTATTTAGCGATGATTCCGAAAATGGTCTATGGACAAGAATTTGTGGTATTAAAGAGTAAATACCCTAGAAGAACAATGAATTGACCAATCGATAGGCATTAGTTCTGGGAACTATTCACCTAAGAGTTGTCCGATAATCCGATCAATCGACATAGAATATAAATGTCCTGAACCTTCATTTCTCCTTATCAGCTCAAATCACATTCTGAATAACTGATGATTCTGTCAGTTATTGAACTCTTCCAATAGTGATTCTGAATTCCGTTATTCTATCGGTATACTGAAGATCCGTGTTCCTCTACTTGTTAAGATTATCCAATATCTTTGAATACTATCTGTAAATTCTGGTGTGTTCCCTACTCATATGAATATTTTACCTGATTTTCGATTTGATTTCTGATCTGATATCTGATATGGATTCTGATCTGATACTTGACTTGGATTCTGATCTGATACTTGACTTGGATTTTGATATGATACTTGACGTGAATTATGATTTGATTTTTGATATATTCGTTTACGGACGGAACATGTTTTATTTGGGGGGTTAATGTTGGAGGAAGAATACCTGGAGGTTCCTTGGCTGTGTGCTCAGGGCCTTACTTACCGGTTCCTCGGTTGTGTGCTCAGGGCCTTACTGGACGTGACGGGGTTGTATGGTTCTGGGGAACATACATATTTTGTACGTGACGGATGGGGGTATATATATATATATATATATGTTTTAAAAGATCTGTATCTTTTTACTGGTTTTATGGGAACATACTAGATAACCTATTCTGATCTCCTGAACTCAGTCATCCGAAATATTTGTCTAAACTAAAAGCTCATTGTCCGTTACCATTTGAAATATCAGTAGGATCTCTGCTCAGCATAAAAATCTGTAAATGTTCAGAAATAATAAGGATATGTATGTTTATCTGTATCTGCACGTTCTTCAGCATCATCTGGTAGTTCTGTATTACTGAGCTTTTCGAAGCTCACTTTATTACTCACCTTTTCAGGTTAAAAGAATTGTACCAGTGCATCTATCGACTTCAGTAAGGGAGTTCTTCCGGCGTTGTTGCAGAGTATGATACATGTGATTAGGGGGCATGTAATTGTATTTTGATTTATATACGAGTCTAGAAATTTGTTTTATTTTTAAATAGTGACAACTTATTTTATAAGTTACACGTTTCAATAAAAGTTTTAAATTTTCCGCTATTTTTAGTGGGTCGCTCCGGTGGCCCAAATGTGACACCTCGGATCGGATCTGGTTACCCTTATCGGTCTGTGGGGATTACAAAATCTCTATTTTTCACAATATTTGCTCTGTGTTTCTGCCTCTCATCTCACTCACGATACAGAAGAAGAGGAAGAAGAAGGGATTTAATCATTTTTTAGTTATATTTTATGGTTTAAATAATTTTTTTTTTACTTTTAATGTTTTAGGTTTGGACCAAAACATGGCCAATAATAAGTTAATTAATTTTTTACTTTTAATGTTAAAGGTTTGGACCAAAACATACCTAATAAATTAATTATTTTTTTGATTTGATATTTTTTTACATATGTTATAGGCTTTTTAAAAATAAATAATGTGTTATTTTTAATTTTATAAGTTTTAAGTTACAATATGTTGATTTTGGTAAGTGAATAATAACAGGTAATTTATTTTTATATATTTTTTTTTATTTTTTCCTATTTTGATAGTCTTATTTCTTTTAAATAATAATGTATTCACAATTTTATTATTAATTAATTATCGTATCCTATCACTGAGTTTAATATTTGATTAAACTATATTATATATATGTTATTTTCGTTTAGAAAACATTCTAAAAATCATTAAAATGATTTTTTAAAATTATAATTATAATTATTATAGTTTAGGATAAGTTGTGAGAACTTTAAGAAAATTCACGACCGCGACACCCGCAGTGACTGCGATGGCATACGTTATGTCCGCAACCGTGATAAACGCGACGCGACCGAAAACGCGGCCGCGAACGCTATTTAAATCCCTTATCATAATTATTCATCATTCCATTCCATGATGATCCCCAGTTGTTGAAGAACCCGTTAGTGTCGCGGCCATCGAGAGACAAGAGCTCAGTGTTTGGCTTCACCTCGACTGCATGCCAGTCTTCACTCGCAGCATAAGGAAACGTTGTCCGCTGCCAAGCCTCGTTTAAAGCACCGACGTTCCCATCAATGGACATCACGTATGGAGAGTAAGTACGAGCCAAATTTGGTGCTACCCCAAGTCCTCCACCATTCCCCATAAATACATGGTTAGTATCAGCACCGTGAGTGGCAAGTAAGTTGTTGTCAAGGAGAGAAACGTGCATTTGAGGAAATGAAAGATGGAGATCAGTTGGATTATGGGAATTATTAGATAACCTAGAAGATTGACCATTTGCCGATTTAGTATCAGCTTTCTTGTTCTTTCTGCACCCTCCACCAACGGGGATTTTCCTAAGGGTTCCACCCTTGGTCCAGTATCTCCTACACGACTTGCAAAAGTACCTGGGCTGAGAGAGGCTGTAATTGTTGTAATAACAAAACTTGGTGTGCCTGGACTCACACCTTGGGCACTTGACAGCTTCGTCATGCTCAGCTCTTAGCCTCCTTTCTATCACTGGCCTTGAGCATGTCAGAATATCCCCATTCATTCCATGCTCCTCATCAATCTTTCCCTAAACATGCAAATTATACAAGCAAATTAAATTCTTCTAGGCTAAAACACGTATCACTATGCTTTGAATTGCATGAATTAACCATACCTGAAGCCAGTACTTAGATGAATCCATTCAAACTGGAAGAGATGTAAGACCCTTAAAAAATAGATTGTTCAACAAGAAACTGAAAACCAATTATCTGAATATGACAGCAAACACTATAGAGAGACAATTGTCTGAATATGACAGCAAACACTATAGAGAGACAATTGTCTGAATATGACAGCAAACACTATAGAGAGAGCAGAATAAGGAAATGATTGGCCAGCTAAAGGGCGGAAGCTGTAAATAAGAAGGAAGTACAAGGCAGGAATTTAGGGTACATATATAGATGGAAAGAATTGGTATGATGGATCCCTTTCCCTCCTAAGTCGCTGAGTGTCGGTGGGCTAAAACAAATATATTCTATGGGACCGACAATGCTGTATAATCTAAGGACACAGGTCCCACTTATTATATCTTTACCAACACTGAGCTTGAAAATCAAGGACCTTGGTCCTTTGTTCGATAAAGGAAAAGGGAAGGGCATATTGAAAGACAACTCCACTGGCGGGTCCAACCTATGTAGTGTTACACTTGGTTCCTAGCTTAGCTTTAGCTTTAGCTTTAGCTTCAGTCCTTTGGGCAATTCCAATTTGAATAAGTAGCTTCAGGATCACACTTGCCAATAGTTATCATCTTGTGCACGGGGACCAAATGGTGACATAAATGCATGGATTTTTGGACATGGATCATAAGAAAAGTATATTGTGAAATGAAGCATTTGGAAGTGAGACTTGCTTTGGTTCAGTGGTCTATTAGTCAAATTAATCATTTTCATATGAGTTACAGCATAGTAAACTTGTATCATCAGCTTCTATGATATGGGGGTTTCAAGGTCCTGAATGTACTTGGTACAGTAGACTTGACAGATCTCTTTGTAATACTGTGGTTCATCATTTGCTGCGACCCATTCATATAACTTTTCTGGTTCAGGGAACAATGATGTCCCAATGATAAGCAAATGTCTGTTCTACAAGGCACGCTATAATTAATCAATCTTTAATTCATTCAAGCAGCTTTCATGATGATGTCTGTTGAAATCGAGCAATTGTATTGACTATACATGTGTAATGTGAAAGAGGATTTGGGTTACTTTTTGAAATAATGTACCAGCATTAGCATCATCATTCAAGCACTAACAAAACTGCCCAATACTCGCCTTTTTGTGCTTAGGGTTGTCGAAAGAGAGTGGAAATTGATGAAGAATAATAGTTAGGCATGGGATGTCCTCATGGGAGAAGGAGTTGAAGGTGTGTAAGTATTATTCTACATGTTTTGTCATCTGCAATTTAACTGCTGCTCTCTTTTTAGTTTCACTTTCCAATGCATACATTATTTTGTACAATATTTGTGGCCATCTTCAAAGCTGATGAAAAATGTTTGGCTGATAATGTACAATCTTCCTCGTATTTCTTTGGTTTTGGTTTTTATTTCCCAAACCCTAGAATCTGATTGCAAATTCTTGTTAGTTCCTACTAAATTGGATAACGTACAACTAAACCTTCATATTATAATGTATGATACAATTGCTCACTCCCCCTCCCCTCCGGGACCCCTTCTCCCCAAATCTTTGCATCGCCTTCGGCATAAATCAACAACTTCGAGTGATAGTGTGGGGGGTGCAGGGGAGGCATCTTTTAGTAAACAAAGCATGCAGTAAGCAGAAATTGATACACATGGTACACGAGTTTGGTAGGTTATTCACCTGTGACAATGAGCAAGCCATCGTTTTATGCAGGAACGGGACTCAATCAGCAGCATATTCTCGATCCCACAAGTCATAATGTATAATCTCCTCTAAGGAAGGACTGGACACAAATTCTTCTCGGTGCTTCTCACAAGTTAACTCCACCACCTTGAAAATGTCCAAATAGCTGATCCTGAAATCGTGTAACAATTTATTAACTCGAACTTATCGATGAAAGCCACGCTAACAAGATAACATTGGGATACAAAAAACTTACTTTTCATCGATGAACAGTTCCACAGCTTTCTCATTAGCTGCACTAAGAACTCTTGTCATGGTGCCTCCGGCCCTTCCAGCAGCATAGGCAAGACTCATGGACGGGTATTTCACATTGTCAGGAGCCTTAAAAGTCGGTGAACCAAGCCTTTATCATCCATCAACCAACTTAACTCATGAGTATGGTGGCAATGCATTTTCAATAAACTCACTTTTTCAACAAACAAAACTTTAAAAGTGAAATTCCGGGTTATTAGCATTATTATTGTTGTCATTGTAAAATGAAAATTAAATGAAAACTAGTCGAATACTGAAAAATTAGTGAAGTAAATTCTGGAAGGAGGCAAGCTAGTTACTTGCAAAGATCAAGGTGTGGCCAAGTCATTTCGGAGCAGTAAATTCTATCCGGCCACGACATAGTGTAGAGGATTGGCAAGCGCATATCCGGCCATCCCAACTAAGATAACACCGATGAATCCTTAAAAAATAAAAAATGCAAAAGTAACAGAGAATGAAAATCAAATTCCAATCTGTACTCTCCGTATCGTCCAATTCAAGAGCTCCCTCAAAAACTAAAGGTTGAACAACATGTAACATTTGAAGCATCACTGAACAGTGGCCAACAAGATAAAGTTCAGGGTAAAACCTGTGTTTCAACAATTGAATGTATGATAGATTGTGGATGAATTACAATCTCGATATTATCATACTCAACTCCGAATAGGTAATGAGTTTCAATGACTTTGAGACCCCTGTCGAATAGAGAAATCGCTTAGTGCTAGTAATTTAGACAGGGAAAAAATCTAATTGATGACATACTATATTAACAAGTACAATGCTTGTAATTTTGAATGTCAAAGTTGAAAAAACTAAACCTTATTGAAAAGGGTAGCAGAGTCCACAGTAATCTTTTTCCCCATATTCCAGTTAGGATGCCTCAAAGTATCAGCTACTTTAACTTCTTTCAATTTATCAACAGGCCAATCCCTATGAGAAACAAAACGAGCAAATTGCTAAATACGACTTCTTTCTTAGGGACGCTAATCCAAGTTATGTTTCATGTTCTGTAATGAAAACACACTCGATCTTTAAAATGGAAGTTCATGTTTGTGCACACTCGAGCCTAGTTTTAATAGTGTCGACTTCAATTTCTTTTCGGTTGAGAGGATATGTACGAAATTAAACGGTTCGTTATATCAGACTTTCAACTTATAAACTTAATCATTCTAACTTAGATTATGATTATACACCTGAAAGCCCCACCAGATGCAATCAAAATAATACACCCAATTGCACCCTCCGGCAATCCCTGAATACACTGTAAGAAACAAAAGATTATATGAGTTCGTTCTGTAATTATCAAGAATTAAGTCGAGCGATAAATGGCAGGTCAAACAAGTTGATGCAACAAAAGTTACTCCAAGAAAAGAATGAAGACACTGTTGAAAGTATTGTTAAAATTAAAAGTTAAAATTTGGCAATCAACTTTGAAAAAATGGTTTTCAAAGTTTGGTAATGTTTCTTTGAAAATAGTTTTTAAAGTTTGGTAAATATTTCTTTGAAAAATGGTTTTTCAAAGTTTGATAAATGTTTGTTGAAATATTGTAATGATATAATCATAATTAGTCACTAGGCTTTAGGATATTTACAAGATTAAGTCCTTAGTTTCAACTATAAATACCCTAACTCATTTAGCTTCAAAACAATCCCAAAAATCATTTCTTTCTCCCAATACTAGAGAGTTTTCTTGTGAGTAGTGAGTGTTTTGTAAACACCTGTAAATTTTATCTCTTAGTAAAAGATCTGCAGCAGTCCGGAGACGTAAGCACAATTGGTTGAACTTCGTTCTCAATTTCGGGTATTATTTTTCCGCTTTTATTTCGTATTCTCACTAATCTGGTTATAGGAAAATTACTCGTACTCGATTTATTTCTTAACAACTGGTATCAGAGCTTTTGGTTGTAAATTTTGTCAATTTTTTGCGATGTTACTATTCATTACTATTTACGTGAATAGTGAATTTCGTGAATAGTAAAAAAAATTGTCGACGATACGAGTTTGTCGACGGAGGTGTTCTAATACACGATGGTTCGCAAGAATTGTCAGAAACGATTCAAACAAAACCAGATTCGAGTGGGAGCGATGGCTGCAGACGAATGGAAGGTGAAAATTGAAAAGTTCGATGGTGCGGACCCGTAATGTTGCTTTCAACATAGCAAAGGAAAAGACCACGGCGGGTTTTATGGCGACTCTCTCCAGTATGTATGAGAAGCCATCAGCCTCAAACAAATTGCACTTAATGGGGCGATTATTCAATTGGCGGATGACGGAAGGGGCATCAATGGCACAACACCTAAATGAACTCAACACAATCACAACCCAGTTGAGTTCAGTGGAAATTGAATTCGATGATGAAGTTCGAGCTTTAATTTTCTTATCATCTCTACCAGATAGTTAGAATGCTACTGTTACAACAGTTAGCAGCTCGTCGGGAAATAGTAAATTGAAATTCGACGATGTTCGGGATCTGGTGCTGAGCGAAGAAATTCGACGGAGAGAATCGGGAGAAGCATCAACCTCCTCAGCCTTGCACACGGAGTCCAGAGGGAGAACTTCAAAAAGAAATTCAAATCATGGCAGATCGAAATCCAGACAGGGAAAATCCAGAACGGGAAAGAAAGATTTTACCTGCTATAATTATGACAAGAAAGGTCACTTTAAAAGAGATTGTCGAGCACTGAAGAAAAATACCGGCGCACAGGAATCAGCCAACGTGACAGAGGAGACAGGTGATGCAATGATTCTAAGCGTCAACAGTCTGATTGAATCATGGATCTTGGATTCAGGGGCATCTTTCTACTCCACCCCATTCCGAGAAATCATGGAAAATTATGTCAGTGGTGATTTTGGGAAGGTTCATCTAGCTGATGATGAAACTTTGAAGATCTTCAGAAAATGAGACATCCAACTAAAGTAGCCAAACCAGACCACCTGGACTCTGAAGGAGTGAGACATATTCCTAGCCTCAAAAGAAATCTGATTTCTGTTGGACAGCTTGATAGAAAAAAATATAGCATAACTTTTTCAGACTGTGAATGGAATGAAAGATTACCAAAGGAGCACTCGTCATTGCTCGTGGTAAGAAAACTGATATTCTCTATGTAACCTGAAATTTAGAGAATATCATTGCAACCGCAGATGCTGATGGAAAAT